AAAAAAAGAGATTGCATAGTCAAGTAAGCTTTGGGAATGTTAAAGAGGTTGATTTATTCCAGGACTATTACTTAAAAGACTCTGGCTTTTAATATACTGATGTGTATTGTGAATCTTCAAGACAAGGCCATGGTATGCAAATAAACTCTAGTTTCTCAGGCTTACATAGCCATTCGACATGATGCTATAACACAAAACATTCTCTGGGAAACCTTGCTTTTGGGCTATCTTTCTGGAAAGACTTTTTTCCTAAATCATTCCTCTTGGTGATTTAGGTGATATTCTCATTTGAGAGGTATACAATATCATATTCTGTATTAGTTATCTCATTTTTTTCCCAGTAAAAATATTTTGCTTAAAATTAGAACAGCAAAATATGCCGTATATTTAATAGTCTAATTAGATCATATCCCCCAACTTCAAATGATTCTGTATGATTTCTGAAAATTATAAATCAGAGTATAAGAAGATAGGCTATTTCATTGCATGTCTTTTTGAAATTTTAAAAGCACAAGCCCTCATAGGGCTTTAAAATATTTTTGCATCCAGATTTTTGAAACATAAATCTAGAGTGCCTAACTGGTATACAGACTGATCTCAGCTAGGGTTTATAAGAGGGGAGATTAATGTGAAGGTAACTTGTGCCCTAGCCATAAGGGGTTTGTTTTATAGACTAAAGTAAACACCTTGAATTTCAAGTTGCAAGCACACGGGGAGCCAGAAGATTCCAGCGCACTGCCGTCATGTTCTGCCTATGACTCACACATCTTAGTGGCTGAGCTTTCTCCCACAGCTGCAGCTTCCAGCTGGTCACCAGATAGAGCCCTAGGTAGTCACACACTGCAGTCACCTGGCTTGAGATGACCAAACAGGCATATAATTGCAGCATAGTCCAATTATGATGGAAGGCTTGCCTTTCTCTTTGCCAAACACAGGTGGAAATTAAATGCTAAGTCACAGCTGTTTTCCGAAATCCCAGTGGTTTTGGCAGTGAACCTGGTCTAAGACTGGAGAATCCTGCTAGGAAATACAACCCCAGTTATACATGCCCTCCCTTTGGCTCTCATTTGTGACCTCCTTCATCAGTAGTACAGGTCAATACTTACCATTTTATTACCCAACAAACCTTACACAATGCTGGATTATAGTTGATGCAATAAATGCTTTATGAAAGAGCAGAGTTCGTACATATTTACCCAACTTGCACATCATTTCAATTAAATTCCATGTCTTCATTTATTTCTTTTATGATGTATATGTAAAGGGGTCCTTATGAATTGTAGTTGTCATTATAAATAATGAATTTGACCATTTTTATTATCTTACTTTTATATTATGGGGGATGATGAATAGACTCATCTTTAAATAATTTCTTCAAAAGAAAGGAGCGAAGGAAAAAATCCTGATGTCCTGGAACATAATTATCTTTATTTAAAGAAGTTAGAAACTTGGACGACTGTCAACTGAATATGAAACATTGTTTCCTTGAAGCATGCTCAAAAGTTCAAAGTTTCATTTGCTATTGTTTACTAAATATTTTCCTCTTGTTTAGCACCATGTTACATAATGACACATTATATTATACTCTAGCAGTCTCATTAGGGTTCTTGGAGTTCAGGTGGCATGCCCAAGAATAAAATAATTTGCAGCTGTCCTACTTGAAAGAAAGGGTCAGAAATGTGGGGAAAGAGCTTTCTTCTAGTAACTTAAGCATAACTCTTCTCCTCCTTGTCTTGTAAGAATGAGCTGTTTCCAAGCATTCTCTTCTGTCACTTTTATATTACCTGCTAGAATCATCACGTTATTTGATGTCAAAGAATGTATAGAAAAAATGCCTATAATTCAGTGAAAACAACTTCTTAAGGACAATGATTATTCTTGTGAACCATGGCAAGAATTAAGAAACATTGCTATAAAGAATTTTTACTCTCATTGGTAGATGCAAAGAAGGCAAGAGTGCAGTGATTATATGAAGTGTGAGACATGGTAAACATGGAATAAATTTGCAGGATCATGGGACTGTGATGAATATCATTTAGTAGAATATTAAGTAGAGGAGAGTCAACCTTCTTATTAACAAGTTGATAATAATGCTCCCGTATAATGTTTACTATGCACCCAACACTGGTCACATTCTTTTTATGTTGTATTGGTTGATGTTTGCAACATAACAAACTACCCTAAAACTTAGTGACTTAAAATGACAAACATTATTTTTCATAGTTCTGTAGGTCTATGTACAGTAATTCTGTACATAGTTCTATAGTTCTTTGGTATTGTGCAGTAATTCTGGTCTGGATTGAGTTGGCTGATTTCTGTTGGCTCTGTATTGGATCAGCAGTTAATTAACAGCTCAATTGTGGATGGATGATCTAGGATAGCCTTACTGATGTGGCTGTCCCTGGCCCTTACCTAAAATGCCAGTTGGTGCTGTGGGGATGACTGAGAGCTTAAATCTGATCATCCAGGAAGCTGGTGCATGCTTTTTCACCTGGTGGCTGGGTTCCAAAAGCAGCAAGAGAGCAATCCCAATGTGCATGCCCTCACTGACCTTTTCTTGTGTCATTTGCTAATGTCCTGTGTTAGGGAGGAACAGATACAAGGTATCATTAGACAGGTAAGAAATTTATTTCAAAAATGTCAGTGAGGGAAAAATGAGTACGGAACCAGAGAAGGCTGATCGTCTCCAAGTAATCAGATGGTGCTTGAGGTCTGACCCCTAGGAAAGAAAGAGGGAACTAATGGGAAGAGGAATGGAGGAAGGCTAAGAAGAATCTCAGACAACAGTGCAGTTCTAAGAAAGCTTTGGCCAGGCCAGTGGGAAGTCCTTCAGCCTGTAAGGCACCCTTAGTATTTATTAATAATTAATACCAACTACAATTGTGACTACTGTTTGTTAAGGATATAGTAGTCAACAATCCCTCTGAAAAGGACTAGGGGACTTATCAAAATGTATACTTGCCCCAATAAGTAACAGTGTCCTTTCTCTGAGGAATTTCCCTGCCTTGTTTCTGATTTGAAAACAGGCCCATTATTGGAAATAGAGCAGTGGAGCGTGGGATCATGACTTTTTACTGGGGTGGCCACCCCCAGCCTCCTACTCTCTTTTTGATTGTAGATATTGAGCAGTATACTTGTTGGCTGGCCACTCTTCTTTCCCCAGGGATGCCATGGTCTTTCTGCTATCACTGCAACTCCCCATGCATCAAGCCCCCCTTGGATGCCTCTCTGATTTTGCCAGTCATTACAGTAATTTCAGCTTCTGCTATTAGTAACTAGATATTACATGTTGGATATTATTACCTTAGATGCCATAATCCCCATAGATATTACTGACCCAGCTCTGTGACTAGCCCTGAGCTACAGAAGAGAATTCCTTCTAAACTTCTTGGCAACATTGACTCCCTTTACCTATTTCTTCTTTTCTTCCTCCCTCTCTCCCTCCCTCCCTCCCTTGGCAGTACTGGGGTTTGAATTCACGGTCTTGCACTTGCTTTGTAGGTATTCTACCACTTCAGCCATGCCCCTAGCCCCCTATTCATTTCTTGATGGCCTTAGTAAATGTTATTTCCTTTGGGCCTGGTGTTGAAAAATAATATTCTGTGTTTTCTGGCTTGACAAAGTATATCAATTCCAGCATGCTAACTTCCCCCCATTATCTTATTCTTTTCTTAATTATCTGCAACTGAGGCATCTCTGCTTTACTCAACCTTGGCCACCACTTTTCCAGGCTTCTCATACTATTCTAGTAGCAGAATGTGTCCCATCTCCTGGGAGCCTTGATTGGATGTTAAAACCTATGTCCAAAAATAGTTTCGTAAGGCCAAGGATATAGCTCAGCGGTAGAGCACTTGCCTACCACATGTAAGGCTCTAAGTTCAATCCCCAGCATTACACACAAAAAAGAGGGGGCTATCCCAAACCAGTGAATCTTGTTTATCTAGTTTTTTGTTTTGTTTTGTTTGCTTATTGGTTTTTTTTTTTTTTTTGAGACAGGTTCTTTATATTCCAAGATATCACAAAGAGTCCTCTACTAGTGACAGCTATATAGAGGATAAGGTTTTCAATGAATCAGATATTGCTGTTCATGTAGGCCTTACTTTTTGAAATACCTTGCCTGTGCTAGTAATCATAACTGAGTGACAAGATATGTGTAGTAATGTTACTTTTACAAGTCATCAACTGTACAGAAGTGACATTAGAAGCAAATGTCTATTATGGTAGATCAGAAAGAAAAGGGTTACAATACAGTGTTTGAGTGCAGACTCCCAGCTCTACCATTCATAAACTGTATGGCCTCAGATAAAGTACTTAAGTCTCTGTGCTTCAGTTTCCTAAACTGTCAAATGGGGAGGATAGTAGTAGAACCTAACTTATAATAGTAGAACTTTGTGAAGACTAAATAGGCAAGGTAGAAAAGCTGTAGTGTATAGGATAGACATTGTGTAACAGTTAGCTGCTGCTGTCATCATCATCATTCAACAGGCACATTAAAGATAGTTCTAGGCCTATAGCATGTGTACAATGGCGTATACTAGGCATATATGAGGAATAAAATAAATATATTTAATAAAGTGCTCATTTGTTTTTATTTATATTTGCTCATTCAATAGATATAGAAAATAGTCCATATAAATTTATGAGCATGATAGGAAGGACTAAATGCAGTTGTGTGGCTGGGGGAGGTGGCCCAAATAATGTATACATATGTAAGTACATGTAAAAATGATAAAATTTTAAAGAAATGCAGTTGTAATTTTGTTGCTCAGGCAGTCTGAAAACTGTCTCCTCATACTAATCTTATTTCTTCTTTATTAAAACAAATAAATGTTTTGAAATGCCTTTCTAATTTTTTTAAGAGGGAAATCAAACTATAATCAGGTGAAATTAATACCTATAGGTTTAATTTTATTCATGACAAAGTGAAATGTTCTTGCCACAGAAATACTGTCATCTGAATATAGGGGAGATGTTAACACTTTGCTTGTGTTTGCAAACAGGTTCATCCTAAATTCCACTACAAACAAGCTCATGACCCAGGCACAGACACTTCTTGTGTGGCTTTTTCCTATGATGGTAATGTCCTTGCCTCTCGTGGAGGTAAGTTAAAAGCCCTTTTTGATGTGTTTTATATATAAAATGATCATATTTAACTCTTAACAGTAATATCCAAGCGCTTAGTAAACTAGTTGTGGTTTTATTAATGTACCTTTGCCCATCTGATTTTTTTCATTTCAACTTGGCAACATGATTTGTATTAAAAGTTATCAAATAAATTTTAGAAATAATGTACTTTTGTTTTTATTTTAGCTCCAAGTTTCATAAAAGTTTGAACTTCATGGATGACCTTTGCTTCTGCCTTTGGAATTTTGTAGATGATCATCTAAATTCTTTTCATTCTTTCTCTACCATTTTATAATTCTGTGTCTGGTGTTTCAAAATGCTCTGTTGAACACTAATTTTTTTTTCCCCCAGTTCAGGCACTAACTCAGTTCAATTAAAAAAGAAAAGTTGTATAACCAGTTTTTACATTTTAAATTATTCTATGTGGTTTTATGGTACGCTTATATACACTAACATGGTTGTATATATGTTGTTTTCAATTTTTTTTTTTTTGCTACAACTTTCTCACATGGTTAAGGCTGTATGTTAATAGAGGGAGATGAGTAATAGCCAGGGCAGCTTATGAGCTATGCATTATGGGAAAGAATGGGACATGGCTGAGGGTCTTCCATGAACTTACTTATAGCAATAGGGCAACATTCCAAAGGTGGGTTTTGCAGAGTTAACACAGTAAAAGTAGTAAGTCCAAACCAGTTGTGGATTGGTGTGTCTATCAAAAGTTGAGTTTCAGAGGAAGTCCCTGGGGAGAAAAGGAGGATTTTTTTTTTTTAAATCAAACTCTCCACTCACCTCACTATCTGATCTTGATTCCTTATTGGACCCAAGGGGCTGAGGTAGGTCTCAGCTGTGGGCACTGGGGAGAAACACTAGCAAAGACATTACTTATGTGAGTTTGACTTTTCTTCTGGTCAGAAATTTGTTAGTAGCTCTATAAAAATATACACAAGGGATTCTTAAAAGAAGATCCATTGCTCTTTAAATGACTTGGGAAAGCAGAACTCCCCAGCAAAGTGAAGAATGACAACAACAGGTAGAATTACACTGGAGGGCAGGGAATAACATACTCATTCTCATTAATGTTAATGGATAGCTCTGCCCACAAACTATTGGGGAAAAGAATCTGTTGTGAATTGAACTATTTTTGGTCCTAATGATTCTTCTATTAAATCTTCCTAAGAAGTTGGGTTATGCTTAACACAGAGGAACTACCATCTGCTCTAAAATCATGCTTTAGAGTAGGTTTCTCCAGTGTTCTTTCTAGCCTGTAGATGCTCCATCAATTTGGAAAGTAATTTGTAGAAGGCTGACTCATTATCATATAGCTTTCTACTGTTCTTGCAATATTACTGCTTTCAAGCTCCCAAGACAGTTAAAAAAAAGTAAAATATGCTTATGTGCATGTGGCACTCTCTCAATCCTTCCCCCCCCTTTCTTCTTTCTTACTTCCCTTATACACAAAGTTTAGCAAACTGTAAACTTGAAATGAGTTCTTTGTACAAAATTCACATTTTTGTTTCTCATTCCTGTCAGGTGATGATACATTAAAACTATGGGACATCCGGCAATTTAATAAGCCACTTTTTTCAGCCTCAGGTCTTCCCACCATGTTCCCAATGTAAGTAGCATAATTTAAATGTACTTATTATATTTAAATTATTATATTATATTTAAATTATTTGAATACATTTAAATAATTTAAATAAATTTCTTTATCTTAATGTTAATTTATGTCATGTCTTTTAGAATTTCTAGAAAAGGGACTTGAGTGATTGAAGTATGTTTTTTGAAAGATGTGTTTTTTCTTTTCATTTTGCACTTTAAAAACTTTTGAAGTTGAATGATATATGTGTATATTCATTCATGTGTTTACATGTGTATATTTTATGTGCACACATAGATCCTTAGTTTTTCAGACTGTCTTGTTCTGGGTGACTGAAAACTGTTAACTGTATTCTACTAAGTTGGCAACTGAAGCTTTAAAAGATTTTTGAGGTACCTGAGATGGGATTTCACCTCTAAGTCCTGTAATTGGTACTTAGGAAACTGTTTATATTTTGGTAGAAATGAAATTTCACACCAGTGTTAAGTGATCACCAACAAAGTGTGAAAGTAATGTCAACATAATCATAGAGCAAAGCATCACTGTTTTTACAGTGATGTTTATATTTTATTTAATTTACTTACTATGCTGCATTGTTGTGGGGATTATGAGCTTATACTTATCAGTTCTTTTTTCATAGGACTGACTGCTGTTTCAGTCCAGATGATAAACTCATAGTCACCGGCACCTCTGTTCAAAGGGGATGTGGCAACGGCAAACTTGTTTTCTTTGAGCGTAGGACTTTCCAAAGGGTGTATGAAATAGACATTACAGATGCGGTATGTATCTTCTTTTTCTTCACAATTTTGAGAAGATTAGTCATCTAGTCATCTTTTGTTTAGTTTTGCTTTTTTTCCTTTAGTACAACATAAATGCTAGCCCTCACAATGCAGTATAACTGTTTTGATTTTGTTATTTTTTTCTTCCCAACACAGGAATTGTCAGTCATTGCAGACTGATATACTCTATCCCTTCCCCTGACCCAATATTTCATATGGGCCCAGAGTTAGAATTTCAGCTGGGCCTGAGTTGTTTCCCCTTCTCTGCCAAGAAAATTGCAGAGGGAGTAAGCTGAGTCATGTAGAATACAAAGAGGGGCATCCCACATTGTACATGTTTGGCTGGACCCAGGCATTGTGGATAAGTGGGAAATACGCCCTCAAATTGATGAGGTTTATCATTGTTTCCTAAACTCTGAAAACTTTGACAGAATTCTGCTTGTCGTTAAGTAAGGCTTAGTTCCCACTGAACTTAATTGCTGTTTAGTTAACTGGAAATTTAAAATATTTCAGATTTAACTTCTACATCTTAAAAAACAAGCAACTTAAAACCCTTAGTTTTCTTTACACATTTATATAAGCATGAAAACTTCAGCCTTCATTCACGCATTCATGTCCTGAGACTGGAACCACATATAATATAATAATTAATGGTGAAGATTCTCAAAGGAAAATTTGAATTCTTTTAAAGTATATATTATTATTTAGATGGTAAAGCAAATCATTGTAATTTTCTGAGTATGAAACAGGCCAATTAATATCTGTATAAATTTTCTTTGGCTCATTGTCAAATCCTTTAGTAATGCCCTGTATCTCAAACAGTGTTCTTATGTAGGTTTCTCCAGTTGTTTCAGCTCTGTGTAAACAGTTGAGATGTATTGTGCACTTAAGTGATTCAGACAATTGAACAACTGGTTTTAAATCACCAGTAAAAGGCTCTTGTCTCTAATGTTCTAGTATTACTATGGAGTCTTAATTTGTAGGCCCAAATTTGAAACCATGTTACAGTTTGACTATTATAGTAAAAGTAAAACAACAATGAGACAAATTCTAGATGAGTGCTCAAGTTTTATAGATTCTAATCTCATGACATAACTTGAAATGTTCCAGCACTTGTAATACATTTTTGGGGTGCATCCAGGAGCCAACTAAAATACTAGAATCAAAAGAACAATAATTGACCCTATCAACTTTAATCTCAAAAAGTAAAATAATTATAATTGGTTGGTCCAGCTCAATGATTATACATTTCAGTGTTGTTCTTGGTGGTGTGTTTTTAAATTATAAATTGAATGTACATAAATTAAGGAATGCAGAAGTATGATTGAATTTTTAAGTACATGCTGGACTTTTTACATGCTATTTGCTAGAAAAAGCAGTATGTTAAATTTTTGTTTTCTATGTTGCTTTCTTAGCTAGAATCTTTCCATAGCATTTAACTACTGCCTTATATATGTTTTTGTCTGTTTTCTTTGACCAGGATGTAAGTCCACAAGGGCAGAAACTTTGTTTTGTTCACTGCTGCTTAGTACTTAGAACAGTGTATGGCAAGTATGTAGCTCTTAATATTTTGTGAATGATTTGGAAGAATACTTGAGAAGTTCAGGTAATGCGTTCTGTAGAACTTAGGTGTATCATGGCAGGGCATGGGGGTAGGAGAAAGGAATTTAGAGTTAGAGCAATAAACTGGCTCTGAAAAATCACAGTAAGAAAGTGCTTTTATCTTGTTATTTTTTAAAGCAAAGAATGACACATTCAGACTTAGATTTTTGGAAAAATTAACTTGTTGAAATGAAAAGGTTAGATTTACAAGATTTGGTGAGCATTTGTATATGAAGCCTGAGGTTTATAACTTGAGAGGCTTAGTGAATGTCCCCTGAGATAAAAATCTATAGAAAACAAATCAGATTTTGGAAAAAAGACAGTGAACTCTGCTGTTGATATGTTGTGCTTAAAATATTTGTAGAACTTTTGTATACAGATGCTAGGAAGGCAAATGGGTAAATGAGTTTGGTGCTTAAGAGAAAGAAGATATAGTTTGGGGAGAAATATTTTTGGGGAGGGGGGAAGAAGCATTTATAGTTGAAATGTTGGTTGCTGATTAGTTTGATTAAGAAAAGGAAAGGGCATAGAGGATAGAAGATAAGCCCTAGATATAGTTTGTAAGCGATGAGTGAATGAAGAGAATCTAGCAAAAGAAAAGGATTATTAAGCAGAATACATCATATACAGAGTCATGGAAAAGTCAGGAAACAGGTTTTCAGATCCATTTGAATAAATGGATGAAGAGAGAATTTCAAATACACACCAAACCACTTACCTTAAAGAGGCCTTTTAAATCATTAATTTAGTGGTGGTGGTGATGGTGGCGGTGACAGGGTTGTTGTTAATATCAGACAGCATAGTTTTCTGTTTATATAATAGAATGTTATGTTAAAGGGGCTTTTGAACTGCCCTTTTGACCTATTGCCTCAGTTTTAAGTCCTCTTGGAATGTAAGAAAATAAACACATTTCTTAGAATGGATAATGGGTAGATGCTTTGCTAGAAGAGCCCAAAGATACCTTTTTTATTTTCTTATGTATTTATCATCAAAAACCAAAACAATCATTGTTCTTTTAGTAATACTACAATTCACTCTAGTAAGGTACTTAATTGTGTTGAGTTTTGATTTGCATAAAAGACAGCATCTCATACTTTCAGCATTAACAGTTGGTAGTGTACTTGTTTGACTAAGCACAGGTAGTAATGCTTTGTTCTGTCCTAGATGTGTCCATTTACCTTAATGAATTATGACTCATTGTATTTTTTCTGCCCCTTTTTCTAAAACAGAATAAATTCTTAGATAGTTACATTCTAAGACATATAGATAGATGATAGAGATAGAAAGATATGGAGCCAAACATTGTTTTCAGTCAGGATATGATAAGCTATGCAATTAATATCTTATTAACTAAAAAATTAGTTAAAATTTTTAGGTAATTGTATAAACATTACCTAAAAATAGCTTTAAAATATATTTCCATATTTGTTGTTGAAGCAAAGTTTTAAAATTTTTTTTAAACTTGCCTTAACTCTACATTGTTAGCTCTCTGAATATTTTTCCTTTTTAGTTACTTAGTGTAGAAATTCTCAACTTCTTCACTAGGAGATAGAAAATGTTTCTTTAACTTTTACTATTTTCACTGTGTACAATGATGTTTGCGCATATTTTGTAATTCTATTACAATTATTTTAGATGCTTCCTTTGTAGTCCAATTATGTTTCCGTAAGTTAAGTACACATATATTCTTTACTTATTATCTAATTCCTTGTGGTTTAAGTAGTATGCTTGGCCTCTTTTCTTTGTTTTTTTTTTTTTTTTTTTTTTTTTTTGATGAGACTGAGGTTTGAACTCAGGGCTTCATCCCTGTAAAGCAGGCACTATACTACTTGAGTCACTCCTCCAGTCTCCAGACCTCTTTTCTATGATGAATTCCAGAATATAACTTGAATCTTGAGTTTACACATTTACTTTTGTTTTTGTGTAGATAAGACCTTACTGCTTTTTAGTTATTATACAAAAGGCCTATATTACTTTGCTTTATGTAATAAAAGCATAGGCAAAAAAGGATTGATGCAATGTAATTTGGAGATGACATATTCTTTTTCAAAGAAGAATTATGTTTAGAAGAAATTGTAAAAGTTTAAAAAAATCATTTATTCAAGGAAATTCATGGGAATAACAAAATATTGTTTGCTTAGTAAGTTTTGATCAAATTATAACTTGTAAAATGACTAATAGAATTTTCCTTAAAAAGTATAAACTAAGGGACATGGCTAAGAAAGTTTTGAACTGGTATTAAGATGGATGGTCTCTTTACCTAATTCATTTCTGGCAATAATTTTAAAGAGATAGCAGGTATTCTCGGGGGGTAAAGTGGAAAACAGTAGAAAGAAAAAAACCCACAAATTTCACAGCTGAACCTGGCTTCTTTTCTTATTCTTTTTTTGATTAGATAATTTGGTGAGGAGCTTCTTTTGACTGAAGAGAATGAGAATAGAAAGAAAAAACTGAAATTTTATTTATTTTTTTTGGTGGTACTGGGATTTGGCTTCATGCTTTCTAGGCAGACACCTACTGCTTTAGCCATGCCTTCTGCCCTTTTTGTTCTGTTATTTTGGAGAAAGGAACTTGTTTTTTGCCCAGGCTGGCTGGGACTACAATATTCTTATTTTATACTTCCTACAGTAGCTAGAATGACAGGTACACACCACCACACCCAGCTGTTGTTCAGATGAAGTCTCATGAACTTTTTGCCCAGATTGGCCTCACACAGCAATTCTTCCAATCTCAGCCTTCAGATTAGCTAGGATTTCAGAACTACCAGCACTTGGCTTAAACTTTTATTTTAAAAACACAACTACAGCATCTAACACAACTGATCTAACACATGGCCTCTAGAGGAAAGGGAAAGGATAGTCCCTGGATATTTTCAACTACATTGCCTTGGACATTTGTACGTTGATTGAAAATCCTAGTACTAACATAAGAACTATAATTGTAAAGGTGTTTTAAGGAAGAAAAATTCATTTGTCATTACCTAGGGAATATGTGGTTATAAGAAGGAACATTTTAACCACCGAGTATTTAGCTTAGATATTTGCTTCTTTCTGCCACCACTTGCTCTCCAGAATATCCCCTTTTTGTAAGAAATTAAATTTAGATTATGCACATTTCACTCATGTTTCCTAAAAGAGAAAACTCAGAATATCTAAGTATTAGGCGCCTTCTATGAATTTGAAATCTTGTGGTTGTTTTCATAGAGCTAATTCAGTAGTTTGAGAAAGTACGTATTTTGGATCTGCCTTCTTGGAATTCTATCAGTTTTTCTCATCTTCATCAAGTAGAGGAAAGTGAAATAAATATAATAAAAATAATGACTTTCCATTCATTATTAATATTAACTATGGCCCTCTCCCAAAAGATAGCAAGAACTTGAAATTTTTCCACAATGATAT